CCCCCGCGCGGGGCAAGGCGGGCGGGGGCTTAGTTACGAAAGCCGCCCCTTCGCATCTCCGAAGGCACGGTGTCCTCACGGCCCCCGCGTCGCCCCCTCCACCGGGGCGCCTCGCCCTCGTCTCGTTCCCTCTCTGGCTCTGCCTCCCCACCTCAGCCCTCTTACTTCCACTTTCTCGGAGGTAGTAAAGTCAGGCTTTGTGTCGCTGCTGCTGCGCAGCGGGGCGGGATTTCCCTGCCACCGCCCCCTACACCCCCTCCAGCCCCGCCCCAGCTCCGCCTCCTTCCGGAGCAGCCTGGGAGTTGTAGGCCGTCCATCCCGCCGCTCCGCCTGGTACAGCGGGCTGGGAGCTCCCCCTCCCGCCCAGGCTGGGTTTGCCAGATGGGTGAAAGAGGAAGCTGTGGCCTCCGCAAGGTGTAAGGCGCTGTCCCACCTGGGCTGGAAGGGGAGGCCCGGTGGGCTTGGGAGCTTCCCCACGGGGAGTAATGTGAGAAAGGAAAAGAAGGCAAAACCCTGAATGCTGAGAGCCTTACCGACGAAGCCAAAATTGCGCCGGGAAACCGTGCTTGGAACTGGCCTCCGAAAATGCCAACTGAAAGCTGAGTCTAGCATTGCCTGAAGACTGAGCAATTCCCTCCCACCAAGCCCTCCCCATAGCCCAAGTAGAAACCATCACTAGAAGCCAAGGGCCAAGGCACTGCCTTTCTTGCACCATTTCCCCGCGGGCCAGCGCTAGGGACACGCCCGACCAATCAGTGTGAATTGCCTAGTGGGGCATAGGCACTTCTCCCCGCCCAGTCAGTTTCCATCCATATGCTCACATGCTTACTGGGCATTTCCCTTTAACCAGGCCTTGTGCCAAGGAGCAGACACAACCGATCTACTCAAAGACCTCCCCTGAAGGGGAGAGCGCAATCTAGTTAGGGATAAGGGCCCGCAAACACTCCATCCAGGTCAGAATGTGAAGGCCACCAGCAGACAGGGTCATAATCCGTGGAAACCCACAGGGCAGTTCTATTCTGTCCTGTAGGGTCGCTATGAAACGGAATCAACTCAATAGCAGTGAGTTTGCGGTTGGAGGGTTTTGTTTTGTTTTGTTGCTTTGGAGAACAGAGTAGCCTGCCCCATAAGGTTTCCAAGGCTATGTTAATCTTCATTGAAGCCAACTCCCACATCTTTCGACCCCAGAGCCGCTGAGGGGTTCACTTGGCCTACCTTTGGGTTACCAGCTGCGTGCTTAGCTACTGCTTCACCAGGACTCCCCCAAACACAGTATATCACATTTGGAAATGCATCCGTTTACCAGTGAAGAAGAATATATTTCCATATGGCATAGTGGTTATGCCTTAAGCTGCTAACCACAAGGTCAGCGGTTGAAACCACTAGCCACTCTTCAGGAGAAAGGTGGGGCTTACTACTCCCTTAAAGAGTTACAGTCTCGGAAAACCCCAGATGAGTTCTACCCTTGTCCTATAGGCTCGCTGTGAGTTGGAAAGAACTCAATAGCAATGACTTTTCCACATTTTCTTTAAAAACAGGAAACACACTTTGCCAATAGATTCAAAGGGAACTTTTAAAAAGAGAGAGTAAAAAAGTTGTGGTCCAGTTTTCTCTGAGGTTTGCCATTATCAGGTAGTTTCAGCTTAAACGCAAGGTGTTTTGGATCCCCCAGAGATAGCAGCATCATTGCTCATATTTTCATTTGTCATTCTAATTTCACTTTCTCTTTGTCTTCTTAATTTATTTCTGTTCAATATCTATACTCAAGGGTCCAGACTAATTTGCATGACTATAAAATGCAATTTAGTACAAATCAAAATATATGCTCAGCAAAACAAGAAATTTAGGCAAGGTGCCCCCCCCCCCACCCGTATTCAAACTCAACCTGTAATTAAAGCGACTCCCGAGCACATCCTTGGGATTCACTTTCCTTAGTTTTTGTTTTTGTTGTTTTTTGACAAGGAGACATTTTTTTTTACAGTGCCGCTTCGCAGTTTCCAAAGAAATCCCGGGTGCTGTAGAGCCCTGTTGTCAATGACTCTGAAAACCAGGATTTTAAGAGCCCTGGTGGCATAGTGGTTCTGCCTTGGGCTTCTAACTGCAAGGTCAAGGTCGACTGTTCCACCATTTCCAGGGGGGAAAGACAAGGCTTTCTAGTGCCGTCAAGAGTTCGAATCTCAGGAACCCACAAGGCCAGTTCTGCCCTATCCTATAGGGTCACTGTGAGTGCGAATTGACTCCTTGGCAGTGATTTGGAGTTTGGGGTTTTGAGCTCCATCAACATAACTATAAAACTAACTTCTTCCAGCATAAAATGCTCAGGGTCTGGGGGCCCTCGCACGACTTCTGGTATACCCTCCAACTGCAACAGAACTCCCAGTCTTCCGCAGGTAGAAATTCAGACAAAGCAGTCTTTTGGCCCTATTACCAACCTGACTGGAGAGAATGCTGTACTCTGAGGGAAGAAGGGAAGCGAAAGGTGTTTCATTTCCTGCCTTACCATTTCTATCCTGCTGTCCCATTTTAGTATAAGTCACCCAACTACCCTTCTTTTTTATCCCTGCCCCATGGCCCTGTCCCACCATCTACCTCAGCCATTCATCATTGCAAATTGTGGAACAACCACTAGGGCACAGCAGCCCACACAAGGAAAAGAGCGGGATACACCGGAAGGGGAAAGGGGAAAGGGGTCCCTTCTCCACCCCCTACCCCCCGCCCTCCACATCCTAACAAAAAAAGAAAAACAAAAATTATAGTCCAGTCTAAGTCATTCTATCAGATTTACTGCTTGCTGGGATAGAGACTGGTGAGACCCCTCAAGACTAAGGCCCTTAGTCACCCTTCAGGACTGAAACCAAACTCATCCCTGTGCTAAA